TTCAGTATTATTAAGGCAATAGGAAATGTTTTAAAATGCTACCAGTCTCATTTTATAATTGATGTATATCCTTGGCATTAAATTCTTGTCTAGTTTAGAATGCAATAACTGTCAAATATTATGGTCTTTTGTTTTCAGAAGTATTTAGTTTGGGACATCTCAAACAACATATTCTACTCTTGAGATTGCTCATGTGTTGACAGCTTGGATATGCTCTTGTTTACTTTCTGATTAGATCAAAATAAAAATATGTGCAGCTAGACCGGTTTTAATGACTGAAGATATGCCAAAGCTCGTCCTCTTGATGTCTGCTTTCCCATAAACCTGCTTAGAATGTAAGAGTTACAGTGAATTTCTTTATTTTGCATCAGACTAAAATGTTAAGGTACCTGATAAATGTGTGGGTTTCCCCACTGTTGTGACATGGAATTTTTATTTAAAAACGGTTCTCCCCAAGCCTACTTTTTTGAGCAGCACAGCTTTGCGTACAGGTCAGTATGCTTTTCCCTTACCCTTTACCTCATGGGTTCCATGGATTATATCCTCTGTGGCTGAATCCCTTCCCTTGTAGAGGTAATCCTTGTTTCCACCTCTGCTCTCATGCAGCTCAGATGTCTTCTGGTGTTTTCACAGAGCTCACAGTCGCTCGCTCAAAATTTCGTATAGAGCCATAGCTTTCATTAGTGCTTTTCTGCTTTCTTTGTCATTTTCTGGGCTCCCAAATTCTGTTGGAGTGGTTTCACTGTTAGTTGATGTTATTCCAAGAAATCTGTCGCTCACAGTAAGAGGACTGATCCCTTTCCTGGGTATTGAATAGTAGGTGTTGCTGTCTTTATTTCTGATACAATGCATTCAGAAATGCTTAGCACACAGCTACAGGATTTTAATAGAAGAATAGGGCAGTCTGGTTTTTGAGGATGGGCAGTTTTATTTCCAATTACATTATCATCATGATGATCCTATTGCTGCACTCAGAAAGCCAGTGTGGCATTTCACTGTCTGAATTCAGCTTTCAAGTGATTGTCTGGATCAGTCATTGCCTTTATCAGGAAATGGGGAATTTGTGTTTTCTAAGGAAGTGCTCTGAAATTTTCACCAGCAGAATTATTCAGGTAAATGTTCTATGTTTAGGTTTTTCAGAAAGAAGTGATGAAAGGACTCAGTTGCAGTTAAATTTTCTCTGCAATTTAAAGAGAGGACAGTATTCTTTCACAAGCATGAGATGAGTGCAGTCTTTGTGCTTCATGCTGTGTCTGCAGCATCAGCAGCCACTATCAGCGACTTATTGCAAGGACTTTAGCCTAAAATATCAGCCATTAGCAAATCAATGACCTTTGTTATGAGTATCTGACTTCTCAGTTCTCTGCAAACCTTGTTGCATCAATTCCCAGCAGTTCAGTGCCTCTTACAGGTGGTTTGACAGTTTCCACACTCGAGGTGGGATCTAAGGTTTTGCCCTCCCCAGGTGCAGGAAGGTGGTTGAAGCATTGCAGCCTGATTGCCAATTGCATTTTGCCAGGCTGCCATTCCCTGCAACCTCTGTTGGATGCTAGGAGGATTGAAGGTTTCTGAAGTCTGCTCTTTGAACCATGTCTGTCTTCAGCTTCAGCCTAGTATCCTGGGCATAGTTATCCATATTTTGAGCTTCAGATAAACATTTGGTAGTCAAGAATCAACAACAACAAAAAAGACAAAAAAAAAAAACCTACAAAAAAAAAATCCCAACACAGCAAAAGCACCACAAATATTTGCCTGTGATGACACTTGTTACATTTCTTTGAGGTGACTTTTTATTGACTTTCTAAGCATGCTCTTTTAGAATTGCTGGGAGATGTGAATAGGTCAGAGAGAGAGCAAAGCAGTTTCCTTATAAGCTCTACAGGAAACTTCTGGATGTTGCTCTTTTCCCCATAGTTCTTACTGTCTTCTCAGCTTTTAAGTTCTTCTGTCTTCTGCTCTCACAGTGTAACAATTCACAGATCTAATGATTAGTCACAACTTCATCCCTTTTAATACACAGAGTTGTATAACTATCCTAATTAAACATGCGCATGGTAAAATTGCAAGCTAGAAAGAGCTGCCTGGGCTTGGATGATAGCAATTAAATGATTTATGTTTACAGGCATCAATATTTATCTTATGCCTACCGTCTGTCCTAGCTTGTCATCTGTGGTTCCATGTGTAGCTCCTTGGCTTTAGTAAGCAATCCAGATTCTTTTCTCTGGACACTGTGTTCTTGGCTGAGGAGAATATTGCTTTTCGTAAGATTATGGAGTAAGACCATATTCTGAGTTTCACAAACACTTTCAGTCTTTCTGTCTTCACCTGAGGATTTTTTCTGCTAAAGTTTCAGAAATACAAGGTTTCAAGGTGCTTAAAATAAATGAGTCACTGTCTCCTCCTGCCCCCAATTGTTCTCAAACAGGGAGTTCTTGCTAAAATTATTTAGGGTGATGCCCCTGACAAAAATACGGATGAACCAAGTCCCAGTTTCCACTGAGCTTCAGTATGTTAAACAGACACAATTTATTTTTCTTTTCTGCAGTTCTCCTTGGCTCTGGCAGGGTCAGAAGCAGCAGTAGCACTTTGGCTGTTCCCAGTTGAGTCATTTGGAATGCAAATCACTTTGCAGTGATGCCAGAGGTTCCCATTGTGCTAGGCTTTATATAAAACGCGTGACAGATTGTCAGCTTTGTCACATTCCCTGGGCAGCAGGGAATAGGTAGAGGCTTCAGCTTTGGATTCAGATAGAACCGGACTAGTATCAGAAGATCTTTGTCATCTTTGCTTTGCAGATAACTATAAATCATGTTAGAATATTACATGGAATGCTTTAGCTTGATATTTTGATACTAACGTAATTTCTCAGTGCAAATAAATTCCTACTGGGGAAGCTTAGCAGAACATGTGCTCTGGGGAATACAGTCTTCCTGTACCCTTCCCTGCCTTTCTTCTCTGTCTGAGCTAGATATGCAGAGCAGAAGTGAAGTCTGGGTAAAATACCAAGCAATATAAATTATCTGCTCTTGATTGATCTTGCACTATCTGAGCTGCAGGGATTTGGGGTTGCAGGAGCATGTTCTGCATCTACATACAGGATCTTGCAGGAAGGATGTCTGTGCTGTAAAAATGTGCTGTGAGTCTGGACAGGAACTATCTTCCCAACTGAACAAATAGGAATCTGAGGAGATTTATATGAAAATAAAGCTAGTGATGGACTTTTACTCTGAAATTTGCTATTTATTAAATATCTTGGTTATTTTTGCATGAAACCAAACATGGTGCTGAAGTGTCTCTTGAGAGCTGGATTAAAGTTGATCTTGTGTGAGTCTGTGCTATACTAGAGATTAAATAAATTGTATTGAGTTTTCACTGCTATTCAAAGCTTTTGAATTACTGTGGCACTATTTCAAAAATATTCAGAAGTAGACACTGAACTTTCTTGTCCTTTCAGTCCCATGTTAGCAGGACAAGACCTGAATGACTTTGCCATTTCAATTTTAAATAAAGAAAAGTTTGATTTTCTTGAGGAAAGCAATTTGAGGGCTGTGGAATGTTGTTGTTTTTTTTCAATTATTGTGCAAATTTTAATTCCTGAGATAATCAGTTTTGATTATTTTGAGTAGTTCTGTCAGCACAATCCACATCACCAATTTAGTGAACTTAATAGGAAAACTGATGATAGTGACTGTAAATGTTACTACTTAGCATGGTGAATTCAAAGAGTAGCAAGAGAACATTTAAGGCTGTTGCACAGCTCTATTTAAAGTCTCCATTTTGGAAAGTTATGTAGCTGTCACCCTGAGTTATTGTGCCTAGGGTTTCAAAGATGCTGCTCTTTTGGCTCTTGAACAATATTTTGTGGATATGGTAGCTTCTTAAAAATTAGGTTTTGATTAAAAGACTTTGAACAAATGCCTTGTGTTAAAATAGGACCTCATGTTCTCTATTGTCACACTAGGTTCTCTGTAGCTTAAATCCACTCTAAATCCAGAATCTTGGTGCAGAAGTCGTTTGCCTCAGTTCCTCTCTGAGAGAATGTGAATTGGAGCAAGCAGATGGAACAAGCAGATGAACACATTTTGCAAGCATTTTGAAAATAGATCTTGAAAGGGTTTTTAGTACAGGAAGCAAATAAGTCTGGATTAATAAGAATGGAACTTCACAAGGGTTTTTTCCTTTCTGCCTTTGGTTTTTCTAAACCTTTTCTTTCTTTGAACTTAGAATTACCCTGTATTCAAGATATTCTTTTTTTAATGGGGCCTTTGCTTTAAAACATAGTTGCTCTCTCTGCTCTATAGGTGATTTTGTTCTTTTTCAGCAAGGCTTATGGTTTTCCTATTATCCTTGTACCAATAATTTTCCCTTTGGGACAGGAAACAGTCTAGAGGCAAGGCACTATGAAAACAGATGGGCTACACATTGAAAATGGAGCTGATGAAGCTGACAGCCTCTTTGCGATCCTATCAAGCGTGTCTTTGTATGGGTGATAAAATCAGCAGTCAAACTTCTGCCAAGTTTTTTCAATTCTCTTTTACTTTGCAGCCACATAACCACTCAGGGGAACTTGCATAACTCTCCCCAGCAACATCCACAGCACTGCCTATGCTAAGGGCACTTGAGCAATATTCTCACTCATCTCCTAAATGTTTTTCTGAGAGTTGCCTGTTTAGGTATTCACAGCTTCAGATCTGGAACAAATGTACTTTTGAAAGCCAATTCAGACTGCACACAGTAATTACAATGTGGGAAATACTGTATAACCAGCAGTAGAGATCTGTTACTATGTGTGGAGGTGCTGAGAGTTTGCATGTTAATGCCCTAATTTGAAAATCTGGGTTTGAAGGACAAGGCATGAGTAAAGTGCCCAGTTCCATGTGCCATAGATGGCTTAGATTAAAACCTCTTGAGTTATCAAATGGCTTTGCATTGGAAAATCTTATGAGCAGCATGCCATGTTAATTTTAAATAGAAATTAAACTTGTTTCCCCTTTTTATAGGAACTGGAGACATTGTTGCTGTCATGATTACAGAATCAAAGGTTAAGGAGATCCTGAATTACTTGGAAAAGAATATTTCTGTCCTGATGGCCATAGCAGTGGGGTCCCGTGTTCCTCCGAAGAACTTCAGTCGGGGCTCTCTAGTCTTTGTGTCAATATCATTCATTGTTTTGATGATCATTTCTTCAGCGTGGTTAATATTTTACTTCATCCAGAAGATCAGGTACACAAGTGCACGTGACAGAAATCAGGTAAGGGGTCTCTTCTTTTCTCTTAAGTTATGGAGATAATATTTCTGTATATAGTAATCAGTAGAGAACAAATAAGGCATGCCCATCAAACTGGTGTTCAGAACCTCTTTGTTCCAAGGCAGAGCATGTTGCCAGACAAGGATTTTTATACATCAAAGTGTTTTCATCTTGAGCAGCATTGGTATAGATCCTATAACATGACAGAAGAGAATAGAACTGAAGCAAAATACTTGAGTTTTGGTTTGTGTAAGTCCAAGAGTAAGATGGATTCTGTGTTGGCTGAATAATACATACTATTATATGTTGGATGTATGTTGGGAACGAGGAGGAAAGTTAAATCATGAATCAACTTGTGTAGTGGAGGGGAACACTGAGCAAATGTTACGAATTCTCTCTGTCCTCTAAAGGTTATGCTCTCTAATAGTTAAGGTAATTTAGAAGTTGTACAAAAGTATTCCCAAACCATAATTAGTCGTGAATGTTAGGGTAAGAAAATTAAGGTATAGAGCTGCTTAGTGGTCTGTATTAACTTTCAATTTTATTTAGATCACCCTTGGTAAGGAGTGCCTAATTGTCCTGGTCATATATTTTAACCAAAATTTTGTCCAGTGTGCCTTTCTTACATTCTTTTCCACTCTTAATTTGTTTAAGAACTGATTTCTTAATGTATGGCCATACTTAGAGATCTAGACTAAATTCAGTTGTCAACTCAAACACAGATAAACTTTAGAAGTAAATGTTTTACTAGTGTGGACTTAATGACCCTCCATAGTGTGCCTTGGCTTTTATTGAGAAGGGTCAGTAAACCTCAGGAAATCCACAATGCCCTCTTTCCCCTGTTTCTCTGTCATGCCTAACTTAGAAACCTCCTGACCTTGAGTCACTGTCCCCCTTTCCCCCAAATTGCAGCTGATACACAGCAGCTGCCTCTGGGCTAGTTCTTTGGTGTTCTGTCAGACCTAAAACAAATTCAAACTTATAAAGCCTCAGCTGTGGCACAGGATTTCCTTTTCAGTTACTATAAATAGTGTCTGATGATGCAGGTCCCAGAGGCATCCTGTAGATTTTCCTAAGGATGTCATTCTTAAATGACCACACTGTAGCTGGTACTTAGTGTGGTCTCTTGGGATAGTGAAAGTTTAAATATAACTGTAACTTAATGAATGTCTGTAGAATACAAAATTGTGCCTTCTCTATCCCCTACATGGCTCTAGGCTCCCTCCAAATGTCCATGTTTCAAAACAGTTGCTACATTGGGAAAGGGCTCTTGTGACCTTTTTCTTTCTTTAGATTTTTACAAAGGTCAGGAGAAACTTGATGAAAATTTTATGTGGTTTAAAAAGCTGAGATTATTAAACTTTAATAAGAAGGTGGCGACAGCTACAGCTTATTTTTAAAGAGCTTTGAGAGCTTTCACAAAGACTGTACTGTTAGTGATGAAAAAACTTGGTTTAGGCTATGATCTTGTTTTTAAGTTATGTCAAGGCAGAAGTTTTTCTGTTTTTTAAATCAAAGCCATCAAAAACTTGCTGTCTTTTGTAGATAACACGAGTAGATATTGGTATTTCACATCGTTATTCTTGCGTGCTTCCGCCGGAGGTGTGAAACTTTTACATGTGGAGGTGACCTTTTCCATCTAAACAGTTGTGGGTTATAAAGGCAAGCATATGCTGTGTGCCTGTGCCCTAACTTAGCAAAAGAGCAAATCCTGAGCATTTCCAGTGTTAGCGGGAAAGCGTATTTGATAAAATTAGAAAATGGAAGAGATTGACCTATTAAACGGAAGAGATGGAAGTTGTTATTTAAAACAACTTCAATAAAAAACTTCAATACATTGGAAGAATTCTGCTGAAATATTATGCTTTCAATGGGGAAATGATCTTTAAAATTTCTTGTGGTGCATGTACAGTCACATGCATTAGAACAAAATATAGATAGTACCCACATTTGCTTAGCTGGTAGAGTTGAGCATTCAAGTGAAATGCCATTTCAGCCTTGTTCCTCTCTTAGTAATCATGCTTTTGGTTATGCCATGGTTATCTACTCCAGCAGTATGTCCAATGTGTTCTGTGTCATTAAGTACTCAGGCTTATTTCAATATGCTTGTTCCAGGACATGTTATTTAGATCTTCCTAAACTGACTGAATTCTTGCATATTGAAGTTAGGGTGAGATTTCTGACTTTAGAGGAAGCATATAATTTCCTATCCCAGCTCTGCTTCTGATGCTGTGCTTCCTACATGGATGTACTTCAGTAGTGGGACTGTGTATCTGATGTTTTTCTAATCCTTGCTCTAAAAAATATAAGAGCTGCTGTTTTGTGAAAACCACAAGGAAGTAAAGTGCTTACATAATTCTAGAATAAGTGGTATAGTCAGTTGTGATACAGACTTCTGAGGTCATTGTGTTTCTCAAATAAAAGCAACTTTCACTGCAGTTTGCATGCGGGGAAATGTGTGATACAGGGGGCACACGTTATGACAGATTTGGGGTTCCGTTTTATAAAAGGTGGACACAAAACCCCACACATTCACTGAAGGCTGCAGGAGAGGTTCTGAGAGCTGAATTCTCAGAAGCAGCCCATCCCTTTCAAAGGCAGAATACTTAGTACAGGTTGTAAGGGAAAGAGGATATACATAACTTCTGGTTTTTAAGTCAGTTGTAAACCAAGTCTGATGTCTCATGTCCCTGAAGGAAGACAACAGGATCTTTGTTTCATTCAGTGCCCATTTCTGGGACCCCAGTGGGAAAATAGTGACAAACAGCTGTTCTGTATTGACTGGGAACTGGCCATTTCTGTAGGAATCAGCACTTGAATGTCAGAAAAAGCTCCTTCCATCCAGCTGTGGTGGTCATAAAGCAGCATAAACAGCAAAAAAAAAAACCTCAGCCTCTGCATTCAGATTGAGGTTATCTTCAAACCAGTATTAATTTCAGCTTTATTTAAGTCTGTATTGGCATATTTAGATTTTTTGACCCATCATATTTTTCTTTTATGAGATCCTGGTGGTTTTGGGTAATAGTGAGAGGGCAACTGGGTTGCACTGGAAGATCTTTTGCATCTCAGAATAAGATCAGCCTGCTCAGAGAGTATATTACAGCACACTGAATAAAACCAGTATTAACAGAATATAATGGAAATCACTGGGAGGGGACATTGCTTCAGCTGGGTTTAATAAGTTTTGCACATCAATGTTGATTCACTTCTGTGGACTTCTGTACAGTCTGTGAGTTTTATGCCATGCTTGTGGAGAGCATTTGAGGATTCAACTCTGGCTGACTATTCACTGCTGGCTATTTTTCCTTCTCGACAAATCTCTGTGCTTTGCTGTGTTTGCATTTTGTCTTATGTGTTGGCCTGCTGCCATAGTGTGTATTGCAGTAGTATTATTGAGTCCAAATAAGTCATTATAAAGGACACTAATGAAGCTTGTTTATCAGGGTTAATTTGTGTTCTCTTCTTTGTCACTTTATTAGCGCCGTCTTGGAGATGCTGCCAAGAAAGCCATTGGTAAATTGACAACCAGGACAGTAAAGAAAGGTGATAAGGTATAATAATAAGATTTCAACATGATAAACTTGAGCATCATGTTTAATTTTCTTCCTGGGAAATCAATCTCCGTTTTTTCTTTCTGTTTCTGATTTATGACTTTGCCTTCCTTGTTGGAGGCTTACTTTGTCCTGTGGCATAATATTTTGTGTAACTGTTAGTTTTGATGTGTGCTGTAAGTCTGTATATTTCAAGGAAGTTTTTCTTGCTTAAATACAATTTGCACTCCTATCTGGCATCTGTGACTGAGGGTGGTTTTGTGTGCTGGCTGACTGGGAGGGTGTCCTGGCATGGGTACACAGGGCTGACATTGTTTATGTGGAATTCTAAGGCTTAGAACCTTATCATATGTAAGTTCTGTAAAGGAAAAATGAATTTAAGAGACAGGTAATTGAAGATAGTATCTTAAGTAAAATATGACTATTCAGTAACTTAAGGGTGAGCATAAATAGGTATTTCAGTCAAAGGTACTCCAAGAATATTTCTTGCTAGTATACAAACTAAAATATATGGTCTGTTATGTCCTAAGCTTTTTCCTCTTTTTTAAGCAGTATTGCTTATATTTGATTCTGAAAGGAAAAATTAGTCATTTAATCTTGCTTAATTTTTTAGTTTTAATTTTCAAAAGGCAGGTGAATTCTGGCTATGATTTGATTTTTAAAATAGTATTTCTTAAGGCCTTTTTATTGTAATTCCTTTTTTCTTTCTTATTGACACTATCAGCAGTGGGAGATTAGGAAGTGATAGGAAAATTTGCTTCCAGAGAGAAAGCAGAGAAAATGTCGTTCTGTTCTTCCTCTCTCCCTATGTAGTTCTATTTCAGAACAGCCCAAATCTGCACTAAATCTTTTCTGGAATTGGAGAACATAGAAATTAGAGGAGCCTTTCCCTGTAAAACAATGCTGTTGTCTTGACAGCATAAATTCAGAACTGGCAAGTGCTATGTAGGTTGCAGCACAGACAGCGTGGGGGGTACATGCAAGTGAACAGAGTGAGAAAAATGTTTCTTCCTCAGAGGAGCCATCAGGATTCTCTCTTTGTGCAGCCCTGGCTGGTGCTGACCAGGAGTAGCTGTGGCCTTGCTTTGGTCCCTGTCTTGGTGTCTGGCTTGTAGCTGGTTGGCACTGAAAAGAATAACAAAGTTGAACTAAGAGAAAGCACAGGCTGTTTTGTGTGACAGGCCCAAACATCTTAAATATGTGTTGTTGATGCCATATCTATATACAAATGAAGTCCCCCCTTTTCCATTTGGAATTTTAAAATATCATTTTTTCAAAAAATCATAACTTCTGGAAAACAGAAAAGAGAGGAGCTTGTGAGTCGGTGATCCTCATATTCATGTCTCAATAAGAATGATAATTCTGCAAGTAAGCAGCAGACACAAATGTGGGACTATTCTGCACTAAGTAAAATGTGCTTGTTCTGGCTGTGAAAATTAGCCCCAGAATTCTTATTCTGCCAAAACAAACGAACAAAAAACCTGAATAAAACAAATGCTAGCTCTAAGCTGGAGATAAAAAAACAGAAATCTAGGGAAATCTCCACTAAATTTTATAATGATTTCACTGAACATTAGAATCATCTTGGGTCTTGGTTTATGTACCAAATGATGATTTACCAGCTCCAAGAAAGGGGAATTTTGCATGTATGAGATGCTTTTCTTGCTTAAGTCATGTTGGAATATAATAATCCAGTCATTGGGTGTATAGCTTAGTTTATAGCCACTTGGCACAGTGCAGTTCATGTGCTAGTCACAAATACTTTGACATTTGTCATAGCCTCAACTCTTGACTTGAATTCTCATTCTATTCATTTTAGGAAACAGACCCAGACTTTGATCATTGTGCTGTCTGCATTGAGAGTTACAAGCAGAACGATGTTGTTCGCATTTTGCCATGCAAGTAAGATAATAAAGTTGCTTTGTTTGGAAACTGTTCTCTTTTGGTGCTCTTTTGCTTCATTTCATGTAATAGGGGCATTGTAATTCACAAATGCATTTGTTGGATGTTTCCAGTCCTAATAACAGCCACTTTATTTTAGATTATGGTGCCAGAAGGTGTGAAGGTGGGTGCTGGCACTGTTAGGACAATGGAGATTAAACAGAATTATATTAAAGATACTGGCAATGGAGCTATTGAGACTGCAGTGAGGTGGAGTGGTGCAGGTTTAAGGACCAAGTGATGGGCAGACTCAAAAAACTTCAATATAATGAGCCAGGTAGAGCTGCAGAATTCTGCAGTGTAGATATGCAACAACTGGTTGCCGGTTTCTGAAACTGTGGGGAGTGGAAATGCAGTCTTTGCAACCTTCATACCTCCTGACATTAGTCAGCCACTGTGCTGTCATCTATCTTGGGTCTCTTCAATGCAGTGTGATCTTGGCTTGTGTCTAAAGATTTGTACTTGGTGGTGATACTGCATTAGTGCTTAAAATGTAAGAACTTCTTCCCACTTTTATGGCATTGTGTTGACATTTACAGGTTTTCAGTTTGTTTCCATTCCAATTCCATTCTTGAGTTGTTTTGGGACATTTTATCTTTGAGAGGTGCTTTTAAATGCTTTTCTACCTGGTGGTTGATTTTGATGAATCATATGTTTTGGTAGCATTAAGCATTACCAAGGACATCTTTCCCTTGTGTTCTGAAATGCAAAGCTTTCTCATCGCCTCCAGGCACAAAACACATGTGTAAATTAGGTTGTACAGCAAGATCCAGTAACTTGGCTTGTGCTTGGTACATAAATGGTTCTGCATGATATTCCAGAAGCAGCAAAGTCATGTGTTGGAGTTGATCTCCAGTCAGGCAGCAGCAGCACATAAGAGCTCATTATTGGTCTTTTAAATCCTTCTGCAGGTTGTTCTGAATAGCTTGAATATCTTCTTATGTGCAGGGTATTTCCATCATCATAAAAGGAAAAAAATATTATTTTATATCTTACTGATCAAAATCTGTGTGCATTAGACTTCTGAAGCCAAAAATCTAATTCAGTTTACTGTTCTCTGTGTTCCTTACCTCTTGGACAGCAGGAAACAATGTCCTGTTTCAGATTCTCAGTGTTGTTTAGCTAAAATACCCTACAACTGATTATTTAGAAACTCTCATTAAAATATCCAGGAATAGAAGAGCTTAGATTGTAAAAATTTAGGAGCTTTTGATCATGTGGATGTGTGTGCATTTCTTTTTTACAATTCAATCAGTTTTACTCAGAGTTGGTATCCTCTTGCCCTGAAAAATGTACTCCCAAGTGTAAAGATTTCAGAGTTACGTCATTTATTGCAATCTCAGGTGAAGCTTGTATAGGTGAGTTAAGCCCTGCTCTTTTGATATGTTATGCAGAAGGTTATTCAGAAATTCGAGGAACGTCTGGAAACTGCACACCAGTTTTGGACCACTGAGATGATTATTTTGTAAACTGCCTCTTAAGAAAGCTTCCCTTGTGTAGTCCTACAGTGAGGCTCAAGGACATGGAATGAAAGGTCACAGGTCCCACTCCTCTGTGCTTTTCTCTTGATACTGAACAAAGGGCAGGAGGTCCTTGCTGGTGAAGAGAGAATGAGTCTTCCCTGATACGAAAACAACTGCTCCCACTGAGCACAAGGCAGAGTTGGGATTAAAAGCCAACTTCCTTAGTTAAACAACTGCCCCTGTGCAAGCAGTGGATATGTTGCTGATTTACACAGATACAATACAGACCATTTAAACAAGGTGATCATTGATTTATTTTTTTAATTAAAAAGAAAAGAAAGAAAAGTCCTTTTTCTTCAGAGACCTTTGTTGAGCCGCAGTCCTGCAGACAGGGAGCTCTGGGCTCTCAGGGATTGCTACAGCTGTTCAGGGAGCTGCTGCAGGTGCACCTGGTTGCCACCTCAGCACAACCTGCCCCAGTGCAGTCTCCCATGTAAAGGAGAGATCAAGGCTCTTGTATAGATCATTTTCTGTTCTGTTTTTCACAGGAATGTAAGGTCAGCGAAGGCTCAGATTACATCCTGCCAAAGGCTGTATGACAACTTTTATGTTCGCTTTCTACTTCTTTTTTCCATCTCACTTTTCATTTGCTGCAGCTCAGCTTTTAAGTTGAGTGCAAAACCATCTAGGCTAGATACAAACAGTGAGATGGATGCTTTCCACAAGACATTTTTATATTTGTAGATGAAAAGCCAACTAGTACCTTCAATGATGGGCCAAATATATTTCATATTCCATGTGAGATTTTTTCAGTCTTCAGTACCTGAGATGCTTCTCCCCAAATCTTATTATGGAGGTTTAACTCCTTTCTACTTCCTCATACTTCAGCCTTCCATTTTAGTGCTGCATGTAATGTTATTTTTTAAAAAAACAAAAAATAAAAAAACCCACCCAAACAGCACACAGACAATGAAACAAAGCCTACAAGAGAGTTTCTAAGCCAGATGAGAAAATAAATTGCAAGAAAGCCATGGAGAAAATTACTTGACCAAGAGGAAGCAAATAAAAGTCTAGAAGTTCTTACTGTGCTTGTTGGGGAAGCTGTAATCATTAGACAGTAGGAATCACTGACATGTAACATCTTTGCTGCTTTCATCAATTTAAAAGTAGCCTTTCCCTTTAGTGGTACAGTTTTTCTCTGCAGTTAAGTATGGTCTGTCACACTGTGCTTCAGCAGAGGGATCTGGTCTGGGTAGACACACAGCAGGCAAAATCTGCCAGCAGCTGAGCAAGTTGCACCTAAAATTCTGTAGCAAAACACCACATTTGTTATTGTAAAGTCTTGTGGTGTGTGGGAAATTGTGGCCAATTTAAAAATAAACTAAAGTGAAAGGTGTAGAAATTCAACTTCATTGTTTGCAGTAGTTCATTTTGTGCTTCAGAGAGAGATGTTCAGTACCAGCAGCCTATGGACATAGCTATAGCTTTAGTGCACACAGGGACAAGCTGCCATCTGTTTTAGGTTTCCAAGCTTGAGGAATGTGTCTTTGTGAATGTCATTATGTAAGTGAAAAGTAAGTAGAGGAAGCAAACGAAAGAGGGATCCTAGCAAAAGACAAACCTCATGGACAATTACTTGTTCAGGTAATTTTATTCTACCGTCACACTGTTGCATCTAGGGGTTGAACAGGCACTAGGTGAAAAGTGATCAGGAGTGGGTAGTGTGAAGGATTACTGAGAGATAAGGGAAGGGGAGAGCAAAGTGACAGGCTAGAGAAGAGCAGAAAATGACATTGTAAAGGGCAGAAAGATGACCAAGGAAGGAAGGAATTAACAACGTAGAAGAATTAAAAGAGTAGCAAATACTATAAAATAAGTGGCTTTTGAGACAAAGTCTTAATTCCTGTCCTGGTCAAGGAGGAGGAAGTGACAAAGTGGCTAAACCAGATTTTCAGATTGTTTGATTTTGTGTTGCTGCAAATAGCTGCCTTTTTCTTTTTCAGACCAAATTAACATAGAGTCTTGATGGCATCCTTTCTGCTTCCTGCAGCGCCTTGGTCCCCAGGGCCAGGAGAGCAGCTGCCCCAACAGTAGCCAAAGATCTGTAACAGCAAAGGTTCCTTTGGTGGAATGCTACACTGAGAGCAGGGAAGGGGAGCAAGCTGTAGGGAAACAGCATTTATAAATCATTCTCCTTTTGTGATGTGTGAATTTGGAGGCCTTACGCCACCAAAAGAGATTCCTAACTCAGTTTCTCCCCTGTGAAATGCTGCAAAGAAGCTGTGTTGTACAAGAGCTGGTGTTAAGGTGTTTATTATCAGCTGGAGGGCTGCTGGATTGGGTGTGCTGACGGAGTGGAAAAATACCTGCAGGTCACCTGCCTGGAGTTGTGCCCGCATGGGAGACTGTCAGTGCTGCCAGCCTGGCTGCCAGCCCTGCTTCCTCCTGCCTGAGGCTGGGGAAGCTGCAGAGGCTGTGTCACACCTGACTCCCCAGCCTGTGGCTCCTGAGGGAACGTCATCAGCTGTCGTGACCAGGAGCAACTCTAGGAACTCATCACGTTTATGGTCTCAGAATACCAATGACAGAAATAGAAATATGGAGGAGGTTTATGAGAGCAGAAATTGCAAGGGCTTACTTTTTCAGAGTGTGGTTTTAAAAGAATTCTTATTTGCTGTTGTCATTGCTGTATAACCGCTTTTTAACTCCTGCAAGCAGAGAAATCCAGACAGAGCCACAATGATGCAATCAGCAAACTTTTTAAGAGGTAGAGAAACTGTGTAAGTAGTAGGAAGATTATGTCTTAATCAATAACCTTTGGAGAATTGCAAATCTTTGAAACACATTAATAAACATCCTTGAAGGTTTAGGAACTAAAAGCAAAGAATTAGGAGGTCACAAAAACAATTGGGCTGTGTATATAAATATATCAAAGTGCTAATTACTTTTTAAAATAACTCATAATAGTTAGTGGATGCATGCTGGCATCTATATCAGTCGCCTGCTTCACTTGATCTGAGTGCTTCTACAGCACTGATGAGCCAATAATGATATAATAAAGCTGTTTTCATACTTCTGTGGAGTCTTGATGTCTGCTCTTGCCCAAAATATTATATTTCCAGGTTTGTTCTACTTTAAAAAAACAGAATCCAGAGACTTAAAAGAAAACATAAGCAAATAAAAGTCATAATTCACCCAACTTTGAAAAATAGCATCTCTGTATGTTTCAGAATATTTCAAGTCATTATGTATCACCCAGAGTTTCTAAATATTGTTTCCTGTAGTTTTGTGAGTAATAAAGGGAATGCATCAAGACTTAATAATAATAGAAGTGAGTCTATTTTGGGTGATCATTTGAATAGAGGACATTGTACATACCCTGATTTTTGGGATTGCCATCTTGCTAGAGGACACAGGCCAGCCAGGTGACTAACTGAGATTATTTAAGTTTCTATTCCTGCATTATCTGGAATAGAGATGATCAAAATTCTTTTGCTGCCTGTCCATCTTCTGTTGACTATTTTCCATCCTAATTCTGCCTCTTCAGTTAGTACAGGTGGGACGTACAGCTGTAGCTGCCTAGAATTTCATTATGTTGATGTTCTTTAGTACCTCCATCAGCCTGAGTAGACACAGACAGTAATTATATCCTGTCTTTTGCCATGTTTAACAGTTTCAGGAGGCCTTTTAGGTTGCTTTCCAGAGATTTAAAAGAGAATTATCCGGTAACATGCCTCGTTTGGTCTCTGGTTTTAAAATCCCAAGGAATAGGAAGCAAAGAAGTCCCAGATTCCATACTGAGATTTCTGAGGCACAGAGAGCAAGTATAACCCAAGCAAGGAGGGGACAGAGGGTATCTCAGCTTTATGCTGCCTTGGGGGCACGCATGGCCAACCTCTTCCAGATCCTGCTGATGCCTCAAATAGCAAGACCTGCTTGTTCTGTCCCTGCCCCTTTCCCTGCTGGCTCCAGAGCACAGCTCTTAGCTGACTAAGCAGCCCTTGTAATTGCTGATCTTTGTCATGATCACCAGTCTGTCGTGTTTGGGTGTGCTTGCTCTTTCTGGCTTCTTGCTCTGCAGTCAGCACCACTGGAAATGAAGGATCAAGGCTCTTATCATAGGAATTATCATCAGCAGTTACTCAGACTGGGTTATTACGAATATTTGCTAAAGCTGTATTGGGTAGACAGTCTTATGATACCCATTCCTGCAATGAATGTGCTCTGAAAAGCTCTTTGTCTTTTGAAAAGCTACGAGGGCATTTCCTTTACTTCCTTTAGTTTATATACCTTGTTTTGTCTCTGCATAGTCCTTCCTTGTTATACTGGTTTAGATCAATCCCAACACTTACATTTATATTCAATTATGTAACTAAGATTTTGAATGCAATGTAGGAGGCAGTTCAGACTGTTGCCTATTGCAGAGTTCCCTGCTGTGCAAGTAGGAGCCCAATTTGCCTTTCTGTCTCTGAAAGCCCTGTTTGCCTCTCCTTTTATTTTTATGACAACTGTATGAGGATGGACATGTTTTCCTACTTGATATCAAGAAACACTATACAATAAAAGACTTTTCAAAATCAAACAGGAGTGTGTTTGGATTGGTTCCACTGATATGTGAACAAAATCGACTGCTGATGGTTCTGTGCTCATCCTACCGAGTTCGTGGTCAGATGCTGCATCAAAACTGAGACAAGACTGTAGACAAGGTTATGGTGGAAATGGCATTCCCTTGGTTCTTCTACCTTACGTCATCTACTCATATCCACAGTAAAAGGAGGGGAGGGGTGAGGGGGAATGAAAATCTTCAAGTGTTTCCTTCTAATTGGACTGTTAGTAAAGGGTGACAGCAATAAGCAATATTTTTAAATTTATTTTTTAATTACTGCAGTTTCTAAGAATTGCATGTATTTTAAAATAAAAAAAATCAACTATCCAAAAGTTTAAGTAATTTTCATTGTATAAAATAAAATTGTTTGCAAACTATTTATGTGCCTTCTCTGTTCTTCTAGGCACGTGTTCCACAAAGTCTGTGTGGATCCATGGCTCAGTGAGCACTGTACATGTCCAATGTGTAAACTGAACATTTTGAAGGCACTGGGAATTGTGGTAAGTTGCTCGGTTGTGAACTCTTCTTCCTCTCATGTCTGAGACCTAGAATAGGAAGAATAAGTGTAGCGGGGAGAGGGGGAGGGGTGTTCCAGTACCCTTACTCAGAAAATATTTGGGGATTTTTACTAATTTCTTTGGTGCTGATTTGTTGTTTTTTCCTTCTTCCCCTGGTTGGTAGTTGAGAATACACTGTTACATTTACATTTATGCCAATTATCTACTGGAACTATGTTAGATTCTCTGTAATCTTCCTTATTTTCAAGTCCTTTCATCTCTTCCTTGTCAAATATACTCTCTGAATCTCTTGTTCTTGTGGTTTCCTGTAGACAGTCTTAAATTTGCACATTAAAAGCCCCGCCCTAGCCAAGGCCAGTAAGTTTTCCTCAAGCAGCTCATGTCTTACAGGCTCCCCGAGGACTGCTTTCATTGACCAGCTCACAAAGGGATAGCATTGAAACCTCAAAGCAGATTTTTTTTAATCTTTCCTGTGTGAGGAATAAATTACAAAGTGGGAGTGATGCTCTTTTTAGAGTAAGAGAAGAACATATGGAGAGGCCGTCTAAAGTGGCTTTTGATTCAAGACAGTGAGAATAATCAGGCCTCCATTTTTAACTGTGTCAGTAGCAAATTTGCACATTTCATAAGAAATAGTAGCAGATATTTTGTGGATGACCTGTTTTTGCAGTTAATAACATCCCTGGATTTTTAGAAGAGGATACAGAATTCAGAGTTTGTCATGGTTGTGGTAAACCATTGTATCTCAATCCTTTTTTTCTACTTCTTCCTTCTCTTCAAGAGGTGGAAGAGTTCATTCATGTGTTTCTCTCCTGTGTGACCTCAGGACAGGCACAGCAGCTGTAAGAAGAGTGTGTGTGTGTGGTTTCAATCAATGTATGGGTGTTACACACAGAACATTCAGCACTGTAACGTGGAGCTGTGTTTTCCCCAGCCCAACATGCCGTGCACAGATAACGTAGCCTTCGACATGGAGAGGCTGACACGGGGGCAGCCGGCGAGCAGGCGCTCGGCGCTCGGAGACTTCGGCACCGACAGCTCCCTCAGCCTGGAGCCCCTGCGCACCTCGGGCATGTCACAGCTGCCACAGGACGGGGAGCTGACACCAAGGTCAGGAGAGATCAACATTGCCGTGACAAGTAAGTGTCCTTTGGCATCCTACGGCTTCCGTGGTGTGTGTGTGTGTCCCTCTGTGCTGCAGGGCCCTGGTGATGGATGTCCCTGCAGGGACAAAGGTGACCTCAGTGTCTCTGCAAGAGGCATATGCTCCTTATTGGAACCAATAACTCTAGGTATGACAGTGCCAACACTTCCATTATTAATGGTATATCCATTTAGATCCGCATGCAAAGAACCCTGGATGAACTGAAATGGCACCAAAATAACCTTCCTGAATTCGGTAACCAGCACAAGAAGCTGGATTGCCAAAACTGTTATTTATCCCTTCAGAATACTTTACGTGCAGTAATTTATACAAATATAAATATTTTAGCTGATAGCTATTTCTGCGGACATTTTTTCCCCTGAGAACATTGCTACTGGAATTCTGACGTCACTTAGCAGGTGTTTTTTCTTACAAAATTTGTGAATTAAAGAAGCATTTGATGTACCAACATTTGAGTATTGTCCAAGTGTTTTATAACATCAGAAAACTGTTCTGCATTGCTTGAAACCTCTTATCCATAAGAGCAGCATGGAAAATTTCCACTTACTGGAATTTACCTAGGGTTTTTAATGTACAATAGCACTATAATAAATACAGTATGCATGGAATTGCATCAGTTTTCCATATGCTGTACAGTCTCAACTTGATGTTTGAATGGTTGTTTTTCTGGCTGAATTGCAAAAATATAATCCATGCAGTACAACAGTCTCATTTTCTCATATTTTGTTAATGTGCATCTGTGATCTATATTTTGAACTTAGTGACACTGGTTGCCACTGATACATGTAAACAAGGCAGTTCAACCGATGCAGTAAATGTCTCATTTAAAACAAAAAAAACCAAAAAAAACACCTCATGAAAAATATACTCCATATCTAGAAATACCCTGATCTGAGATGGGAAAATCCAAATGCAAAATCTGGATTCTCCAAAAAGCCAGTAAGTCACTTTGCCATCCAGTGTTCAACCTCTGGGTCACCTTACATTCAGTTGTGTTCAGCAAGAACAGATCCATTGCTGTGCTGCTTCCTTGTCAGGGGTGGAAAACTGTAGTTTTCACTTTTTACTAATTGCCTTTCAGAGGGAGTTTTTTACTGTCTGTTCCCAGCTGTAGTGCTGCTTGTGCACAGATGGGATGTCAGGGTAAAACAAGAAATAACCATCAACGGTTCATTCTGACAATGTTTATAAAGTAAAGCTTTAGAAAGGGCTCTTGAAATGTTTGTATTTTATGGATGACACATGCATTCTTTGATGCATGAGAATTAAACCAAAAGCTGTATTCAACAACAGTGTTTGTATTCTGAACTGTTACTGTATGCCAAGTTGGTCCTGTGGAGAATTTTGAATAGTGAACATTCTTTAATAGATTTCTTTGTATTACTTTTTATTTAATATGTGTGTGTGTGTGTGTGTCTACCCTAGTATTGAAATTATTTTTCCATGGGTATATCTATCTATTTTGTAGGAAACTCTAGTTGTGTTTTACTGTTGAGAAATCTATCTTGATTTTTGTTGGGTTTTAAATAACACTATAACATAAATTCAGGAGGGAAGGGGCAAAGGCAGTTGAAGTATCACAGTACTTTGGGTATGCTTATGTGAAAGAGCTGCAACTCACCAAACCTAACCCAACCAGACAGTCATCTTTCTGACTTGGGGGTGGACAGAGTTTCCATTACATTTTCCCTTGATCCTGCATTTTACACTGTTAAGTAACTTTTCTTTATCACTAACCCTTGGGCTCAGCCAGGAAATACTGTTTGTGCCATGCTTTTTTTCTGCACCTCTCTCCACTTCTTCTCTGCTAGCTTTCTCCCGTCAGTAACTCTGTGGCTTAACCTCCTTCTGCTTCACCTCCTGGGGCCAGTCATGGCTTAGAAGCCTCTTGCCTTCCGCCAGTGGTGTTTGAGGGAAATATTGGCATCGCTTTCTCCCACGAGTGATTTCCTCCCTTTCCTTTGTCAACAGAAGAATGGTTTATTATTGCCAGTTTTGGCCTCCTCAGTGCCCTTACACTCTGCTACATGATCATCAAAGCCACAGCTAGCTTGAATGCTAATGAGTAAGTAAATACTCAGATGATTCTGTGCATTTCTGGTGGGTGTGTGTCATGGACAACATTGGGAATAAATATCAATAGAAGGGGGAATATGTAGTTTTCAATGAATCAAAATAACTTCCTGCTTTTTTCAAATGTGAGTGTCTCTGTTAACAGCAAGTTTCAGGGTTACATGTAGAGTCCCTCTTAATTTATATTTAGCTGTGTTGTTTGAGGAAACCTCTTTGCTAAGTGGAGACATGAAAAGGGGGAAACAGGGAATATTTATGGTGAGTTTTTGATCAATGTTCTAGGTAAACATTAGATTTCTGCCATTTAATTCCTATGTTCAAAATTCACCTGCCAGAGCCAAAACCTATTGCCAGCAGTTACCTGTGGCCATTTTCACCTCAGTTTTATAAAAAATAATCCTCTATTCCTAGTTGGCACACTTTCAGCTAAGGAGGAGAAAAAGGGTGTTTAAGCAGAAAATTACCTTTTTCCTCTTAGGTGATGGAAAGATGAAAGCAATGGATGCAGTACTGTTTCTTCAGTCTTAAATGAAGGCATGCTTGCTTCCATGCTTTCTTAACCTATATCGAAACCTCCAGCCTCCCTTCAGGCAGGACGGACAATAAATTATCCTAGTAAATGATTTTCAGTCTTTTTTTTATAATTCTGTGTGTGAGCAAGTATAAATCTATTCTGCAGATCTATTAACTAGGTCCATCTAGTTATTTTCATGTAGGTGTACAGAATATCTGGGCTCAGGATAAAAGTTTAATCTTAATTTAGTTATTTATTTGGGAAGGCAAAGTGTCAACATCTTTCTTTGTCTCTGAACATCTTGATACAGCTGAGTTTCCATTAAAGTGGAATCTGATCTCTCTATCAGAAGGGGTGTGAGATCCAAAGAAATTCAACTGGGAAATGGAGCTTTATAAACATTTTCTTGGGTTTTTTTTTTCTTTGAGATAAGGGGGGTTGGATTTGTCTTTTCTTCTTTTCTTTTCTTTTCTTTTCTTTTCTTTTCTTTTCTTTTCTTTTCTTTTCTTTTCTTTTCTTTTCTTTTCTTTTCTTTTCTTTTCTTTTCTTTTCTTTTCTTTTCTTTTCTTTTCTTTTCTTTTCTTTTCTTTTCTTTTCTTTTCTTTTCTTTCTTTCTTTTCTTTCATTGTTATTTGGAAAATACAAGGTTTCCTCAATAACATGGAAACATGTCTAATAGTCTCCAGTGTAAAATTTTAAACAATCTCAAGCTAATGATCTTCAGTAGGGTCCATAATACTGGTCATCAGGGATATTTACTTATCACTAATTTGCAAATCTTCCTCCTCTTTTCATATGCTGATTCCAAAAGGGCTTCAGGAAGAAAACTTTTAGAACTTCAAATAGTCCTATCAAGTGTACTGATTTTTTTTCCATTTGTCAAAATCTTGAAGTTGCAGCCATCAGTCAGTAACTTGGCAGCATAGCTGTAACTGAACATAGTTAATCTTTAACCTGCCTGGAAAAGTAGATTGAGAAAGCATGGGGCAAGGAGCTGCAGAACAGGAATGTCTGCATTGCTGGGCACTTGCACATCATTGGGAAGGAGGAGGAGCTGGAGCCCATGAAGTCTCATCCAGATGTGGGCACTGATAGCAGCTGCATTTCTGCCTTGCAACTCTTGTTTTTGCTGCTCAGTGGGATCTGGGACTGTTTTTACTGCAAGGACAAGCTGCTGCACATTGGCAGGGACTTCAGGCCTCCAGCAAAGTGTTTTCACAGTGATGTTCCCTCAATACAAACAAAGGATGTGCTGATACAAGGAGAGCTCCTTTTCTGAGTGATAGGAATTGAAATGCAAACACATCAAGTGTGTGCTTGAGACAGACTTGAGAAAACTCACAACCCAGAAACCAGAGCTTCAAAAATCACTTATTTGGGGAACTGTGATTCTTGGCTGTGGCCTTTAACCTCAGCAGCTCTTCATCTGAATCCTTTGGGATCTGAGCAGCCTGCACAAGTGCTCCTGGGTTCTACTACTCATTTTAGACACTTCAAAATGACACTAATGCTAAGATTTAATGTTTCACTGACACCTTCCCAGTGCCAGACAAAGAATTTTGTGTGCTGAATATCATGCCAGATATATGGCAGCTCCTTCTCATTGCTTTTTCTATTAAACAGCATACCTGCTTTTTATGCTGCTCTCCATGTGAAAAGCAATGTTGGCATGCCCTGCCTTTCTTAAGGTAGTGTTTCAAGAGGAGTCTGAGGGGATTTTCTTACTGAAAAACAACAGTAGGAAGAATGAGACCATGTAATATACTGATACAAGTAAAAGACTTGAAATTCTGCTTTAAAACTCACCTAATAACGTATCCTGTACCTTTTTTTTTTTTTTGCTATGTCCCTCTCACAGCTTACACGAAGTTATTTAGGGCAATAGTTCTGGAGTTGTAAGTACATACATATTTAGCTGTGTATATGTATGTTTGTGTGTATGTATAAATACACACACATGCATTTTTAAATAGTTGTGATAAAAGTAAACATTGTCTAAGTGATAAAATAAGGAACCAGCTGCTTTCTCTTGGTCTCAAAATAACGTTGCAGTACTGGTATAAAAAGTTTTAGGCAGTGTTTGAAATGAGCAGAAGCAGCACAATTTGCCTTGCTTCCTAGGGAACAGTCAGAAATTACTGTGTAAGTGTAGGTTTAAGCCCAAAAAGCCCAAATATTGGATAGCACCACTTAGAGAAAGTTTTCAGTAGCAGATGGAGTATCCTCAAAAGCTTAGAAGTGCTCAAACCTCTGGCTGTCCTGTAGGAATGATGTGACACATACAGACATCTCTTAATGCTCTGGCTTTATATAATTAGTCATTTTTCACTAACTTACTTTTACAGGATTTTTTTTTTAATTTCATATTGGCAATATTAACTTTAACATAAATATTTTGTTGCTTTTTTTTTCTGCCCTGCAGAGCAGAATGCTATTGAAGAAACGCTTTCCGGCCGATTGCCTTGGAGAGAGACACCTATTTTTATGCATCATTTATCGATCATGCAGCACAAGCAATTATTTAGTACATTCTATTTTTTCATAAAATTTGCTGATGCCAAAGCTTTGTATTAAAGAAAAAGTGAAGAAATAAAAAAAACTTTAATTATGAAATGTTACTCTGAGAATTTTATTTTTCTTGGGCTTTCTGTGTTAGTACTCAAGACTGAGAGCATTCTGTAAATTTTACAAGCTGCTTTATTTCCTTTGAATTATTTTGTCTTTGCAGATCTCTATTATTCTCCATTCATTTGGGACACAAGCTAAGTAGTGGAAATGTCATGCAGTGCCCTTGTTATGATGCTACTCAAGTGACTTAACTGCAGTGAAGTGACTAAAAAATGTTGTTAGCAATCATTTCACATCAACTTGTTCGGGGAAAAAAGCTGGGTCAAGCTGTCAATTCTGCTATAATGGACTTACCTCAATTCCAGCTGAGAATTAATTTGAAATAAGAACATTTTCTCAGTTTCCCTTCCTGTAACTCTCCCAGTCACCCTGGGAGCACTGCAGTATGATTTTTGCGGCCAGGCATTGCTGGAGATTTGCAGTGCTGTCCTCTCAAAATACAAATTATAAACCGTTTCTGTCTCTTACTTTCACCCCACCCTCCTTTTGATAAAAGTGAAGCTGCTCTAAACGGTTTCTTCCTTCCTAATAACAAGTGAAAACACAGCATTTCCCCCCACTGCCATGTGTGAAGACTCCTCTCACATCAGTGGTGGGGATTAGTTTTGGTTCAAATTCAGATCATGGAAGATTGATAACCCACTTTAATGTAGAAACTGTGTGCAAGCATGTCCTTTCTTGCTATGGCTTCTGTACTGGTGAAGAGACACAGGGAAAACATCTTCCCCTCGCTGTCCTCACTCCAGCTATTTCATGCAAGTTATGCAAGCCCTGTGTGAGTAATTTCACAACAGTCAGTTAAAGCACATGGGCCTGAGTCGCTGCCAAATGCTAATGCTTGATTTAACGAGATGGGTAAATGAAGGTAACAAGTTGGGAAGGAAAAAGTAATTGACAGAAGTTAAAAACTATTCTGTGTTTGTTTTTGTTGTTCTCGGATCAAGATGTAGAAAGTGAATACTTTTTAATTTAATTAAATGAACAGAGAGAAGCAATTTTGCTGTGAGATTTAATTTTTTTATGTACTGGGAATTAGAGGATTTAATTTAATTTTATTTTTATGTATAGGCACTTTTAGAATTTAGGAACACAGCCAGATGCTACATTAAAATAGTTTCTTAATTCTTATTTGTCCATCATGCTTCAGCTGAGAAGGCAGCTTTTATAATAAGCAGTGAAGAATGTGATAGCTTTAGTGCATTTAATAGAATACTTCTTCAATGTGTCCTTGTGAAATTCTGAAAGAAATATGGAAACAAATCAATAGAGCAGTAAGTGCATTTTGAAAGACTGGAAAACCCCATTGGACTTAGTCTTGAGAAGAAAAAAAACCCTCTAACATTCTGTGTTTGAAAGCTGTGTGCTTGTAACGTTCAGCATGTGTCAACTGAGTGTTGTTGCCAAAAATGGAGGAATGTGGTTAGAGCATGATTTAGGGAACAAGCTATGATACATGTTTTTTTTCACCCATCTCTCAACAGCAGTTGTAAACGGATAAGTTTGTGCTTGTCTCCTGAAACAAAATTCTGTAAGTGCTATTTAAGGCTGTTGGGCAGGGACTGTGTGAGCAGTGCAGTGACCCAGATGCAAAAGGCACCATAATAGTTCTAGTTCATGTTTCTTCTTCCAAACAGCAGCAGAAGGAAAAGTTGAGTGATATTTGGAACAAAAGGGTTGACAGGACTTTTTAGTGCATTTCCCTCCATGGAAGATTTAAATAACTCAGCATCATCTTTTCTAGTTTTTCTTTTGAGCCTCTAACAATTGTCTCAACAAGGTATTAATAATGATACAACTTTTGTTAGGTTACTTAGAGATCAAGCAATCAGTGCATGTTAATCTGTAATGAAATAAATACATTCAAAGATGGGACTCTACATCATCCCAGATGCTCTTTTTTTTGTTTACTCTGGATAGACAGAAGGAAATCCCCAAAGCTTTACATAGACTCACAGAACCACTTAGGTTGGAAAAGCCCTCTAAGATCAAATCCAGCCATTAACCCAGCACTGCCAAGCCCACCACTAAACCATGTCCCCAAGTGCCACATCTGTATCTTTTAAATACCTTGATCCTGGCCTATCCAGTTGCGTCTGTGGAACCTTCCTGCCCTCCAGAAGATCAACCCAACTTGGTGTTGGCTGCAAGCTGACTGAGGGTGCACTCAATCCCCTCATCATTGATGAAGACATCAAACAGAGCTGGCCCCAGTTCTAAGCCCTGTGGATGTAACTCCATTCCCCATCACTCTCTGGGCTGAGCCATCCAGCCTCTTCTTAACCCATGTATGGTGCACCTGTCCAAGCCATGGGCAGCCAGTTTACAAAAGAATGTTCTTGGACATGGTGTCAAACTCTACCAAAGGACAGGTAGACACATCCACAGCCTTTCCTTCATCCACTAAGTAGGTCACCTTGTCACAGAAGACCAGGTTGGTCAAGAGGACCTGCTTTTCCTAAACCCACACTGGCTGGGTCTGATCCCCTGCTTGTCCTGGATATGCCATGTGATGGCACTAAAATGATCTGTTCCATGGCCTTCCATGGCACTGAGGTCAGATTGACAGGCCTGCAGTTGCCCAGATCCCTCTTCCAGCCCTTCTTGTAGCTGAGTGCCACGTTTGCTGACCTCCAGTCAGCAGGGACTTCCCCAGGTAGCTGGGACTGCTGGTAAGTCATGGGAAGTGGCTCTGTGAGCACCACAGGACAACCCAAACGAGTCTCCTTCCTTGCCTGTCCCTTCTGAAGAGTTTTCAGCCATCTGTTGCAGCACTCCAGTCATCCCACCATGCACATTCCATTGTCTGCATAACGGAAACCATGTCTTTCTGGGTCTTTTGAGGAAGCCCATCCCTACTTTACAAGGCTGTAAATCAACAGTCAGCAATGGGTGCAAAACTCTGGCGTGCCCCAGCCTCTCTCTGACTTGACCTCTTTTATCTGAAGGAGCCATTTGAGGTGTGACTATTCATGCATACAGAAAGCAGCTGCTTTAAAGTCTTCCTACTAACCTGGCTTTGAGGAAAGGGTGCTTTATGAAATAGTACCACTCTTGTTCCTCACTTGAGAAGGTGTGTAAAACAGATTAAGGTAGGGAGTGCTCTGATCAGATTTCCACAGTCAGAAGTCTTTGCTGGAGAAGCTGTGGAAGGGATTGCTTGTGCAGCTTGTGGCAGAAGACAGCCCAGATTAAAGACTAAGGGCATTAGGATACTTTCAGATGGAAAGGGAACACCAGGTGATACTTAATCCTGGTGCACCTGCAGTGCTGTGTCTCTTGAGTTTTTTGCCATAGTGTTATCCTCACTTTGGTGGCATCCTATGGTAGGTATAAAGATCAATTCTAGGGTAGTATGTTTATTTCCACACTCAATGCAAGTTATCTGAAAACTTCTCTTAAAACATATGATGAAGAATAGTGGCAGAGAGCACTGAAGGATTCCTTTTCATGTATTAAAACTGCATGCAGCCTTCCCATTTGTTTTCTGTACCTAAGGGATAAATCTTGGTCTTTCTTGGTAAGTGCAAAATAGGAAGAACAGATTCATAAGCTGAATTTGGAACTGCGGATGTTTTTACTTGTCCTTAAAATACATTTATTCAGTAAATTTATCAGCTGGACTGATGCCACATTTTCAAATAAACAGTAGCAATTTTCTGCAATAAGAGGAAGGTGGCTGGGTCACTATGCCCTGCTGCTCCAGCCATAAGCTGTGGGCAATGCTCCTGACCCGGTTAATGGAGCACCTGAAGATTGAGTGGTGGAAAACACTGAGCAGTAGCTGGATTCTCAGCTCTGGGCTGGCTGCGCTGGATGGGAGAGGAGACACTCAGGAAAAGAATGAACGATGTGTCTCCAAAGTGGCACGGAAGCCAAGAGATGTCTATCTGTATGGAAACATGCAGCCTTCCTGGAAGTGGGTGGCTTAAATTTCCTTTGCCAAGAAGGACAAAAACAGCACAGTAAAGGATATTAGAAGTGTTAGATATGCACTGCCTATTTCCAGATTAATTCAAAATACTTGTTGTCAGATGACCTGTCTGCCTGTTGATTAAATCTCTCCCTCCAACCTGCTAGAGTGGAAGTCTGGGTGCACACAGAGGATATGACAGCCTAGGCTGTCTGCTTCCTAATCCCATGTTTGACTTCTGTGTAATAAAAACAAAAGCAGCACCAAGGTTTTAGAATCCCTTTGGTTTGTTTGAGCATTAGTTGTGTGTAACATTGCAGCAGGTGGAGGAAGGGGAGATGAAATATCCAATATTCATGGCTTATTTCAGCTGCTAAATGAGACTTGCTTATCAAAAAGTAAATGATCCTGGCCCATAACACAATCTTGAAATCAGTTTTATCTGGTATAATTTCAAAGCAGTTTCAGGGTTTGGGGTTTTTTTTGCTTGAATCATAGAATCATCGAAGGTGGAAAACACCTCTAAGGTCATTGAGTCCAGCTGTTGGAGACAGACCATGATAATCTGGAAATCACAGTTCCAGCTTTATGTTTCCTTAAACACTTAGCATTTATTTATTTGTTTGTTTGTTTGCTTGCTTGCTTTTATTTCAAGCATTGCCCAGTTTTAGGAACCTGTAATTTTGTGGGACAGTTCAGATCCAGAAAATGGGTGTTTATCATTCCCCACCAACTGCTTCTGGAAGTATATCCCAAGACAGCCCACTTGTTCCAAATACCCAGGTACATACTCCTGGCAGAGTCAACAATCCACTCCTGTGCAATGTAACCACTAATTTCACTCTTCTTTCAGTTAACTGCAAAATCAAAAAATAATTTGCTTATGACAACTTCCCATTCTCACTGCAAATGGTGGAATGAGTTTTACTTGTGAAAGAGCAGCAGATCCATTGCCCAGCTCAATTTTCCTGTTGGGCACTTTTTTGCAAGGATTTGACCTAGGCACACAAAGTCTGTTTTTTGGGTTAGTGGGAAGGGAGAAAAGGTGTTTTGGACAGTAGCAGCTGAAT